AGAGAGAGAGAGAGAGAGAGAGAGAGAGAGAGAGAGAGAGAGAGGGTTTTTTTTTTTGTTTGTTTCCCAAGCCGGAATTGCACGAAAGTGGAATTTTCCACGGAAAGATCTTCGTCAGTTGTCTCCCATTCCCAGAAAGAAAATGAATTTAAGGAGAGGCTTGAGCAATTGCAAGTTGGATCATAGCTTTAAAATTTTATTTTATATCCTTCACTGTCATCTCCAGACTTCAGGATTTTGCAAGGCATTTTTTATAGACAGAATGCACACCCCACCCCCGATCCCCCTCCTTCAGTCTCCTGCGGTAACTTCATAGTTTTTTAAAAAAATCCTCGCGTGGGTCATAGCGTACATAAGAAGGGCGGTAAGGGTCCTAGAAATACTCGGGGGAAGTTTCGGAGGTTTGAACCCGGCACCGGCACCGGCACCAGCACCAGCGGGTTAGCCGACAGGGAGAGTGTGATCCCCTTGGAATCTAACTGGGCTCTCCCTCTTCTCGGTTATTACTATTAAGCAGTTAGGCATCCGCAGTCGTTTCCCATCAGGGACAAAGTTGCAGTGTTAAAAAAGAAAAGAAAAGAAAAGAAAAGAAAAATAGAATAAATAAATCATCTAAAATATCAAATCCAAGTGTTGATTTTTTAAAAAATTCCCTCCAAATTGGAGCCTCAGCTGTGGGCTCCACCAGAGACTTGAGAGCTCTCCATGCCATTCCTCTGCCTCAGGGCCGCGTCCGCTGCCGGTCTTTCGTGAGTATTTTTCACTCCTTCGGAAATTCGAGTTTTGTTTCTCCGGATGCGTCCGCCCCTCAGCTTTCGGGCGTCTTCCTCTGGCCTCGGCGGAGTCTGCGGACGCGGCAGGTAGCTGGAGCCGCCACGTGGAGCGCTCCTTTCACGTGGGGGGAGCTAAGCCAGATGACTGAGTGGATGTTGCCGCCGCAGCGGAGGCCGTTTCGGTCCTGCGGGTGCTCCTATGGTGGGAGGGCGGGAACAGCTCTGCCCCGCCAGGCTTCCTCCTCGAAAGCTCTTCTGTGCTGTAGAGCGTATATCATCAGAATATGGGGTGCAGCAGGGTTTCCGAAATGCACGCCCCACTTGCATTGCGCTCCTCCAGCTGCGCAAACTCCTCCGGGTTTCCTTTTCTTCCTTCTTTTTTTCTTTAAAAAATACTAGCCCGTTCTCCCCAAGTACTTGCCCGCTGTAGAAAAACTACTGGAAGGCAGCTTTTCCGGGAAGAAACACGGACGGGAGGGGCGCATTTGCATTGGTAGAACAGGCTTCTTAGTGGAAGGTGGTTGGAAATGCCGCGTTTCCTTGGGGCCGGACTGGCGCGTACTTCTGCTCTGCCCGCAGCGGGTTCACGCGACGCCCTAACTGCGCGCGCCCTGGAACTGGATCCTGGAGTCCACTGCCAAATCGTCCTTCTTGCCACCGAAACTCTCAGGCTAGTTACGTCTCTTCTCAAAAATTCTCTATAAGCCGACTCTCCGTTTAGTCTCTCCTGTGTCCACCACCTTTATCATGCTCTTTAATTTCTGCATTTTGATTTAGAGTTTTCAGAACCGTAGCCAGCAAAGCGTTAAAAATAATTTACAGACCTGGAACTCTCGTTAACAGTATCTGCATGGTTCCTCACCTACTCTTTCTCAAAACAGCAGCGTTTAGTTTCTAAAAACCTGTTGGTGGAAATCCTGAACTTAAATAGATGTAAATGTTGTTTTGGTGGTGCCCCACCGAATTTCCCCCACTGGCAGTTCCACTTTTCTGCAAACTTCTTTACTCAGCACTTCCAAACTGACCAAGTGGGAAGGAAAAAAAGAGCCCAAATTAGGGTGTTTGAAGAAAAATGTTACCTTTCTTGCAGGCTGAGCTATCTCAGGGACCAAAAAGACATTGCTTTTACTGTGTGCGCGGGCGCTAGTGTTCTGGAAAGGCAAGGATTTACTCAGAGAATCTCTCCGCCCCGGGATTTGGGAAACAATGAAGTTGTTATAATGTAAAAGGAAAATAAAAATTTTCACTGAAAAAAGTCGGAATCCTCTTGACCTCAGGTGCTAGGCCTTCTCCGAGAGAAAAAAAAGTCAAGGTTTCACCTTAAGAGATTCCCATGCTCCTGGGGCAACGCAGGCTTGCTGTGTGAAAGTTTGGCAAAGGTCGGGGTCTTGCGTTTGGTGGGTTGCGCGTCTAGGTCTAGAGCGCTTTCCTGGCAGTGGCAGAAGCCAGGCAACTGCGCGTTGGCCCCATGTTCTCAGTACAAGCAAGTGTCCCTCTAGGCACATATACAAACGTAATCTCTAACCCTTTGGAAATCAGTACCTTGGGCATCCAGTGTCGGGTGGGAAGGGGCCATAGTGGACAGCCGGGCACCGGAGGCATAGCATGAGGAAGTTGTGAGGCCGAGGGCAAAGTGGACTAGGGCACCGGGCGCATGCAAAAGATGCCGCGGAGCAGCCCCTGGCCATGCGACCCTGGGCTGGGGCGGGCACAGAAAACCCGCCAGGTCTCCCTCAGGGAGTGAGAAGAGGGCCTTGCTGGTGTCATGCCCGCTCTAGCCTTCTCCTGGGATCCTTTCCTCTCTTTCTCTACCCTTGCAGCTCCAAGCGTCTGGTGACCCTGGCCCGGGGACTTTCACCTGCCTTTCTGCGCTTCGGGGGCAAACGGACGGACTTCCTGCACTTCCAGAACCTGAGGAACCCGGCGAAAAGCCGCGGGGGCCCGGGCCCGGATTACTATCTCAAAAACTATGAGGATGGTGAGAAACTTGGTCCCCATTCTTGCAGGGTGGGAGAAATTTGGGAGTTGGAATTGAGCACCCGGGTTGTGTGTGTGTGTGTGTGTGTGTGTGTGTGTGTGTGTGTGTATGTGTGTGTGTATGTAGGGGGCAGATTTGGAGGACGGCCTGTCCCCTGAAAAACTGGAAGTCGAAGGCCAGGGACACCCACAAAGTGAGACTCCTGACTGTGCAAACGAGGATCTCCAGGTCGTCCTAGTACCAGCTGCCTGGCTTTTGCTGGGTGCAATCTCCAAGGCCAGGAGCTGATAACTAAAACTTAAGGCAGGCTCTGGATCTGGGGGAGAAAGTGCAGCAGCCTTCTTAAGAAAATTCAGACAGGTTCACAGATTACTGAATTGTCAGAGTCATATTTCATTCCCTAAATTCTAGGCACACGTGCCTTTTTGTTTTTCTTATTTCTTGCCTTCCTGGAATGAGGATACAGAGATTTAGTCTTTTTAGAACCCACTCTAAAGTTTTCTGGAGCAATGCTTTGCCTTTTACACTCACCCCTTTTTGAGGAAGGTTTGAAAACCTCAGTACTGGATTATTCTCTGCCCTTCAAAGAGCCTAATCTTAGAGTCCTATTTCCTCCCTTAGATGAAAAAAAAAAAAAAAAAAAAAAAAAAAAAAAAAAAAAAAAAAAAAGCACCGCAAATGTCAGCCTTCTTTCCTGCCAGAGTCAGATGAGTTAGGTGTTGGAAGGGCTTTGAAAAAACTACAAATTCTATTCCATGTGAGAGGCCGGTCTTTTTAGGTTTGAGCAGTCTCATTTTTTACTAAGGGAAAGATGAAAATGGTACTTAAAAATTTTTGTTTAGAAAGTTTGGTGTTAATATCTATCAGCATTCTGTGTGACTAGTGGGACATTCTTTCAAAGATGTGTGATGGGAATCCATGTGTCCAGCCACGGATGCTGTTAAAATTGGGTAGAAGATGCATTAGTGTTGGTTCTTGGAGGGTTATTTCCTGCTGTCCCTTCTCACAATTATGTAAGCCACAGTTTTATTTTTTAAGGGTAGAGGATCAGGTTTTCAGTTTTGTAAAAATCTTGTCCTTACACCAGCTACAAGGAAATATCATTGTGTTTCTAGGATTTCACTGAATGGGACTTCTGGAGAAGTTTTGGTATCTATTTAAAGAGTGGCTGAGAAACATAAAAGTTCAGAATAGAGACAGAGCAAGGCTGAGGCTTCTTGAGTTTGAAGCATGAGTAGTACTTAGTGTATTTTTTTTTTTTTAAATAACATTTGCCAAAGAGTGGAGGTGTTTAAGGCTACATCTTTTCAAAGGTAAAAGTCATTGCCATAAAAATGTGGATTGCAAGTAGATTTTGCTGTCACTCAGCATAAAATACTGAAAGGAAAAAAGATAACCCTGAACAGCAGCTCTAATGGTAATTTGACCCAGAGCCTTATAGCTCCCAGGGTCACTGTCAGCTCAATATCAGACAGACACAAGAAAGGCTATATTAATGATTTTCCTGATGGGACAGTTTTTCTTTGAATTCATTTAAACTACTTCCCCTTTAGTTTGTGGAAAATCTTGTAAGAGCCTCTGGGATTGCTGTGGGAAAAACAACTTTGTAAATTAGAAATTGGCCTTTTTCTCCCAACTTCATACCTAAGATTATATTACCAATTCATTGAGAACAATGAAATTTGCTTAAAATGAAGGATACAATTTATTTCCCTTTGTAGAAGTAGAAAGTGGGCATTATGGGGAGAAAAGAAATTGGCAGAAGGCTGTGCCACATAAAACGTCATGGAATTAAAGCAAGCAAACAAACCAGGAATAGAAAACATCTAATAGGCCATCTTCTGTCTTCTTGCAACTTCAGGGTCCAATGCAGGATCGTTTCTTATTAAATCTTTTTTATAAAAATTTTTTCATCTAACTTCACCTCATATTAAATATCTCTAAGAATGTAGTTTTCACCACTCCTTGAGGAGAGAGTTCTGTTCCACAAATTTTTGCCTGGAATTTCTCCCGAATTTTCTTTTAATAAATATTCTCCCAAATATTTACAGTGATTCATTTGCATGTTTTAGACATCTATCTTCAAAATATTTTTTGTCTTTGGTGTGAATGTTAGCTTCAAATAAAGATTTCCTGTTAGCTGATTTTTTAAAAATCTAGACTACCTGGATTTAATTCTTAAAACTTTCTTTAAAGTCAGTCCTTCCAGACACTAATCTGTTTTATTGCTCCTTGCTGAACTCCTTTTGATTTATGTCCCCCTGGTAATAAGATGCTCTGAACTATATCAGTATTTGAGGCCTTAGCAGAGTTAAAGAGAGTAGGAATGACCTACTTCTGCCCTTTGAGGCTCACATATCTTTAAATCACCTATGTTGTCTTTGTTGTTGCATTGCAGAAATCAAGGCAAAAATGTTGTTGGTATAATCTCAACAATTTTGCAAACATTATATTTTCTTTTGACTTTTTATCCACTGGTAATTCTCATCATGAGCATCTAAAAATAATTTGGTTGTCTCAGTAAGTGGCCCTGTAATAGGCACTTTGGGCATCAGGGCACCTTATTAAAAACGTGTGTACTTATACCTAATACAGAATAACAGTGTACATTTTGAGTAGTAAGATACACCTGCTGGTATATTATGAAATTCAGTGATAGAACAAAGAGAATATGGAATTTTGGCTTAGTAAGTTTGCACTACAGGCCTGGCTCTATCATTTATGAATGTATGGTCCTCAGCTTGTTTACTTCTCTGTAACATGGATGATGATAATACCTGTTGTGCATTGCTTCTGTGAGGGTTCCAAGAGATAATGTGTGTAATGTGTTGACTGCAAAACACAAGGTGAAGGATTCTTACTTTATTAAAGACAACTTCTGGAAATTTGTAACATATCATTAATGTTTTAAAGTGGGATTAATAAGTGAAAAAGTTTAGGTAAGACTGAAATTTATACAGAATGAAGCTGGTTGATATAATGAATCATTTGAGAAAATTAACACAATATAGGAAGACTTTAAGGCACAGAGGTAAGAATATCAAGTGGCCTTTTTTGTGGAGATGAGAGAAGAGATTACTTTTTAGTTTTATATATTGAAATTGAAAGGAAGTGATAGTTTTAGCTTGGGCAAAAACTATTTTTTTCTCTCATTAATTCATTCATATTGCTTTCCTAATGTGATTTTTTTGTTGTTTTCTCCTGAATTAATAATGCAATTAATGACATGTGGCTTCCATTTTCCAAATACTTTTTGAGCACATTAAAGCAATTGCATTTTCTCTAACTTTGTAAGGCCACTGTTTATATATCACTTTGGCAGTTTCTCTGGTTACACCTTTAATTCAATTACTTATWCCACTCTATGCTTAGGCACTTTGGATTTCATACAAACATGGTGATGATCATAAAGGAAGTAAAAATAGGGTAGTTCTTCATACCCTGGGAGTTGTGCCTTTGCCTGACTTTCTGTCTTTTCTGTGGTATATTATGCTTTACTTTTTCCGAACAAAGAAATCTTGGGCTAATTTTTTGTTCTTAAGTTTATTTTGCTCCATCTGACCCTGCTTGTAATATAATCAGTATGCTTCATTTGTATGCTTGTCTCTTTATGGCCATAACCACATATCTAATTAAGATGTATAACATTTATTATATGCATCAACAACCAGCTTAATATTTCTAAAATTTTGTATCGTGTCACTCTTTTGCTCAAAAACCTTTTGGATTGCTTATAAAAATTTTTCAAATTCTTTTATGTGGCATTCACACCTTTCACATTTCACTCTTGGCTTACTTTGTTTTGCTCTATGTTTTCATTACTTTTAAATATAGGCCTCCATCATTAGTCACTGTCTCCTTATAACACCTTCACTATCCCAACCCCCTACTTAGGATAGCCTTTGTATTTCTGCCTTTAATGACATTCTCTTGACTCTGTTCAAATCTCAGCCTCAACCCACCAATTCTTAAAGGCCCATTGCAAATGTTTCTTATTTACATAAATTCTTTCATGAATAGGGTGCTCCAAGTAATCTTTTTCCCTCTGGACTGTTGAAGGTTTTACTCTGTGGTATTCATTTGGACCTTTCTGTGTTGTTTTGATATTTAACTTCTCATATTTATATTTATTTTGCCTTTCTAAATAATGTAAATTCGTCATGGTAAGGGACCACAACTAATTATTGTATAAATGTCTGGCATTATATATGATACATGGTAGGTCTTCAAGAAATAGTCTTGGGTACATAGTAGTTTAAGAATACAGTGGAAGGCCCTGGGAAAATGGAGGTAACCAATAAAGAAATGAAAGATCCCATTCATTTTTTGCCTTGAGGGTATATTCCCATGAAGTCCATTGTTGATGTTTATTTTAATAACATTCTTTGTTCTTCTTTTTTAAAAAAATATTTATTTTTTAGTTGTAGTTGGACTCAATATCTTTATTTATTTATTTTTATGTGGTGCTGAGGATCGAACCCAGGGTTAGTAATGTGCTCATCGAGCCATCTACCACTGAGCCACAACCCCAGCCCTGGCATTCTTCATTTTTTTAATCATATATTTTTATCTTTGATTGTCAGAGTTGTCTTGGTTTTGGGCTATACATTAAATTAACTTTACCATTCTATTTAAAGCTTTGCATTGGAACCACAGGCTTTAAAATTTTTTTCTTTTCTTTATTTATTTTATTAAAGCTTTATGGTTACACATAGTAGTTGGATTTGTCCTGACAGACTCATACATGCATGGAAATCGATTTAGTTCATGATCCTCCCTTTTCCCTCCCATCCTCCCTACTCGCTCCCCTCCTTCCACCACTCTATAAGGCTTCCTTTCCTTCATGTATTAATTTGTATTTGATTGGTTCTTTTGTAATCTTATCCTTCCCTCTCCCTTTTCTTTATTTTACTCTAGCTTCTGCATATGAGAAAAAACTCTAGGTTTGTTTTTGATTGTATCTGTTTTTGTTTTTGCCTTTACTTTTGCTTTTCTCTGTT